AGTGGAACCCAGATATTGATATTGCAACAGACAGTATTGCAAAAGAAGTTAGGCAACCAACCTCCAGATACTAATGGAGCAAGTGCAGTCCATGCTCGCATTGTCTCTACTCTTTTGACCAACTTATTTATTAGTTATTTTGTTTTTTCAGAAAATAAATAAATAAATTCCACTGCCTTGTTTGATCTCGAAAGGTTTTATGAGATTCCATGGCTGTTTGTTATGTGTTGATTTTGATGCATGGCTGAACACTGTACAACTAAAACTGTTGTTTTATTGCCAATGTGTGGTCTCTAAGGTTTGGACAATATGCTGACAATTATACAACCTTCCTGTGTGAACAAAGCTTTAAGCTAATAGCCTGCCGGGCCTTTCAATTAAGGCATGTCAAGATAATTGGTATAAGACCATTTACTTCCGATATAATAACCAAGAATTTAATTGAGTTCTCAACATTTAGGCAAAGTTGCTCTATAACTGTTAAATAACAATTGTATGTTTTGTAATAGATGCCCTTAAAGTGATTGTCTGGAGTTTGTCAGAAAGAGAGAGAGAGAGGTGCTTGATTTGAAAAAACGACGCAAGCTCCCTCCCCCTTCCTTTCTGATTGGTCTACACCTACGTTTCCGTAACACATTTAAATGTTAATGAGAGAACACATTATACATATACATTATTAATACACATGCACGGAGGTTTTCAGAATTATTTGTGAACGTTTTCATGAAAAAAATAATGTTTTAATGCACAAAAAAACGATTGCGGCAAACCCGGAAGTAGCTATTATCATGAATTGAACATTATAGGACACATCTGCAGAGGATCTGATTATGGATATAGGTTCAGTATATAAATGAGTAACTCAGCGCGGATGTTCAGATTTTTTTTTTCAGTTTTCATGTAGTTTCAGAGCCTAATAGAGGCTTGATTTGGAGGCTTCGTAAAAACAACTGAGCATGCGCGCAGCTACGAGCACGAGTGCCGATGATTGATAGCCCTTGGCATCACTTGGTTGGTTAACGTGGACAGCATCGTGGATTCTGAGCTATAGCTAAGAGAAGGGAAGGTGGGACTTACCCGTAATATTAGAATTAATTAAATGACTTATTTTATATCAACATTTAAGCCCAGGAGGTCAATTTACTACAATTCTTAAAATTTGTAATTCATTTAGAGTTACAGACTATCACTTTAAGGGAATCACAGCTGAGAAGACATATTATGACTCAAATGCTTCAATAATGACAACAGAATCAAATAATAATGTACTTACAAAGTAGGGCTGCACAAAAAATCGAAGAAATATTGTCATTGTAGGGCTGGGCCATATGGTAAAAAAGTAAAATCTCGATTTTATTTCCTGCTTTGGACGATTTCGATTTAAAATCGATTTTCATTAGAGTCACCAAAGACAGACTTTGCCCTTAAAAATATGTTTTGATCTTTCCGCTCAATATCAAATTTGTTTCCCCAAAACGTATATATTAAAAAAGTCTTGTACAGACTGTGCTGATTTTGCAAGTATAATTCATGTTCTGCTGGAACTCTCACAACATCCTTCACATTTTTCACAAACTCGATTATTTCAAAAGCCGATTAATTGCCTAAATTCAATTTGTTGCCCAGTTCTATGTCATCGGGATATTGGTATTTGCAATATCTAAAAGATCCGTGATAATTTAGAAAATTGTATGCAATACATTTCTTATTCGCACACTGGATCTCCAGTGGAATCATTAGAGCTTTGTTTTAGTCACATGTATACAAATTTAATAAACGAATTACAAAATAACCACTATTTACACTCCAAATTTAAATGATCAAGATTGGTATCGGACACAAGCAGGTTTATGAAATACACCCATTTTAATTAGCAAAGTGTTATGTAAAGTAGATTTAATGAAAATGCTACATTATTGTACCAAAAAGCACTATACAAATAAACCATTATAATACTCTGATATATTGACATTGATTCCCTTTTCATCTAACACTGTATTAGAGTGTACAGTGGTACAGTGGTAGAGGACAATCTTGAGGTCATGAATCCAGTGAAATTAGTCGCACACCTTTTTACAGTAATAAGTTACAGCAGATCAAAAGTGACATGTTTTGACAATTTTTAGGCTATTTTGGACCAAAATGGCTGCTTTAAATCAATATTTCTACAGTAAAAGTTTCTGGTCTTTGGTACAGTGGTAGAGGGCAATCATGAGGTCGTGAATCCAGTGAAATTAGTCGCACACCTTTTTACAGTAAAAAGTTACAGTAGATCAAAAGTGACATGTTTTGACTATTTTGGAGGTATTTTGGACCAAAATGGCTACTTTACCTCAATATTTCTCAATATTTCTACAGTAAAAGTGTCTGGTCTTTGGTACAGTGGTAGAAGGCAATGTTGAGGTCATGAATCCAGTGAAATCAGTTGCACACCTTTTTACAGTGAAAAGTTACAGTAGATCAAATGTGACATGTTTTGACCATTTTTAGGCTATTTTGGACCAAAATGGCTACTTTAAATCAATATTTCTCAATATTTCTACAGTAAAAGTGTCTGGTCTTTGGTACAGTGGTAGAGGACAATCTTGAGGTCATGAATCCAGTGAAATTAGTCGCACACCTTTTTACAGTAAAAAGTTACAGTAGATCAAAAGTGACATGTTTTGACTATTTTGGAGGTATTTTGGACCAAAATGGCTACTTTACCTCAATATTTCTCAATATTTCTACAGTAAAAGTTTCTGGTCTTTGGTACAGTGGCAGAGGGCAATAATAAGGTCATGAGTCAAGTGAAATTAGTCGCACACCTTATTCCAGTAAATAGTTACAATACTTGAAAATTGCACTAGCGGACCAAATTGTGTACTTTATATATGTAAACAATAGAGTGGCTCCTGAGGACTCACAGCCTGCCGGAGGAATCGTAGGGGGCTGGTGCTATGTGTGCCGGGTGGCATCTCTATAAGGTTTTAATCACAAAAACGTGTCTCCCTGACCCCAGCGCGCTTTCTGTTCGATAAAAATGGGTGACTCCGAAAGGACGTTCCGCTGTTACCGTAAGTTCTCAACAAAACGCGCACCGTCTTTTCCCCGATGCGGGCCGCATGTTCATAGAGCTGAAAGATGCGGGCCACTTTACCGCGGTAAATTAATAGACACAGCTGCTTACAGCGATGATCGCTGATGGAGACGGAGACACGCGGTGTGCACGAAGGGGAGGGGCTGTGTGTGTGTAGGTCTCTGTATGTGGGAGAGACGCGTAGCTTGAGTGAGAGTTACGAAGGGCCGCCACATTTTAAACCCCCCTCCCCGCTGTCAAATTGACCGCTGCGGCGGCACTAGACGATGCATGTTTCAAATAGCGTAACAAAAAAAATATATATATAATAATACGAAACGCAATTTGTGGCGGGCGGTCTCTAATCTGTGGCGGTGCGCCACAGATTAGTCTATGTGTGGGAAACACTGTATACCGTAATAGGGAAGGCGCCTACCAATTCAGTTTTAGATTTAAATCACCAGGAAGATGTAAAATGTTTACAATATATAGTTATCCGCATGTATATCATTATTAAAAAAAACAACGCAATGCATCTTCTAGAGGGATGTTGTTATTCTCCTAAAACAGAGCTAAAACTCATCTCCAATCCTATAACAGAAGCCATCACGCGCTGCAGCAACCGCCCCGAATCAATTAAAACTCATTTAACGGGATCCGAGTGGAATATAATCCGACTGTGCAGTTCAAATCCTATTGTGACCATTAGTAATCATTTCCCTGTGCTGGAGGCACAGATATATCCATAGGTTAACCGACATGGCCATTTATACACATACCCAGTGGGCTCTAATCAATCCCATGAAACCCAGTTGAGTTTGTGCAATGGGAACGCACAGCTATCAATCAATCCACATCCCCCTAGAGCTCTAATAGTTTTAATTCTGTTGTTTGAGGATTTTCCATACAGAGCTAAAGCGAAAGCACAACTGTTGTAACCTATATTAAGGCCAGAGTGATGGAGAGGGTCTGTGCCAGTGTTGTTGCGACGGCTTCACAACATTAATTACTGGTAATTAACAAGAGGCGATTACCAAGGAAACAGGGAGGAGATAGGAAACTGTAGCCAATTATTATAATGGTGTGAGAGCAAAAACATTATTTAGGATGTTGAAATGCATATAGCAATATGTATTTCACAACTACTATTTACAACAATAAATAGTAGCTGTGAAATCTTAGCCACTCCATGTTTCAGACATATGTTTTAAAAAAGCCTTGCTTCCATTGTAGGGGGTAGGAAGGAATCAGGGTAATGTCATTTCCATTCACATTTCCATATTGTACCAGACTAAAGTTTTAGTCTGTATTCACTGCATATGGTTTTAACAACAGTGAGCTACATCGAGCTTTAAAGCTTGAGCTACTTTATGTGATTAGCTAAAGGCATTTTGTTTCTCCATTTTTTCACACCTCAATGCAGGTGTGACCTCATTTAAACTACAGACAAACAAATGAAAAAGTAAATAAAAATACATATATCAAATATGTGTTACGTGTTATTTGTGTGTGATAATAATATAATAATATAACAAGTACTAATACGTCTATCATTTAAACAGACAAAAAACTCTGGGATTTTTTCCCAGAAAATGTTTTGCAGCGGCAAATAGGGCTCCATAAAAAATAAACAAATACAAATAAGTTTGTACAACCCTTGTTTTAGATGAAGTGTGTGACTATTTTATTCCATGTTTTGGGGCTTTTTACTATTAACTCTACTCTACTTGGGCAAAATTAGCACATACAAAATTAACCTTTTTTTCCCCAGACAATTTTCCTAGACACAGCGAAACAGAATTCCAAAACGGGAAGATTATTTTTAAACTAAGTTTGCAAAAACAATTGCATTATATTATGCATGTGATAGTGTCGAAAACTATCCATATCAGGACATTTTTCCCAGCATTCCTCACACGGACACATTGCACAAGCGACTTACGTCTCTGAAGCGATTCCAGTGCTTGATTTTGCGGCTGTACTGTGAAATGGTGGACAGCCACTGCTCGTCTTCCATGAAATTCCCGGTCTTTTCCGCCTCTTTCGCGCTCTTGGTTTCGCTCTGGAGGCTGGAGCTCGCCATCATCAGCAGCGGGACCAGAAGGCACGCTATATCCGTCATTCCCACCATGGCAGCGGACACAAAAACACACACCGGAGATCGGGCTGAGGATGGATGCTGAGGCTGGAGAGACACACTATCGAATGGTGATGAGGCGGAGGGAGAGAGGATGACTGCAAACTACAGAAAGAGAGCGATCAGAGCGACTACAGAAGGGAGGAGGGAGGAGGGAGGAGGGGGAGGTGGACCAATGGTGGGCTGTCTGCAGGTGCGCGTGCTGATGGCTTATGTAAAGGAAAGAGCATCCCGACCCGAAGAGCATATCTGCGTCCCAAACCAGTCCAAAGTAATGTTTTTGCCTCTATAGTCAAAGGTACTATTATTCTTCATCATTTGTGTGTATTTATGCCCTTTAACATGATCTTGAGAATACATAGGATCTTGATTACAGGGAAGTAGTAGTTGTTGTAGTAGTAGTAGTAGTGGCAGCAGTATAGTAATCAAGTCCTTTATAGTTATGTTGTCTGCAGGTTTGACTTGAAAAACCAATGGACACAAGGACGGATGCGTAACAATGACATTGAAATCCCCCCACTGTGAGACGAATACAAACTTTTCTTATCTTATCTTATTATTACAGTCAACTCATAGATATATAGAAAATTGAACGTATCAATGCATCAAAAGGTAAGCATTTATTGAAACGGATTTTTTTTTTTCAGTGGCTCATATAGTATCCTCGAACATGAACTTGGCTCATCAAAACAAAACAAACACTGCAGCAACTATTCAGTCCATGAAATGAAAATGAAATGAAATTATGGAAACAGTGATGACTACCCATAAAACCTTCAACTTAGAAATATAATTAGGAATATATGTTTTGCCTTGTAAAAACTGTGCTGTGGATTTTCCGACTTGCAGTGCCACCAGGATGTTTTGTTGATGTAGCAGAAAAAGCGCAGGTGTAAGTGATAAGTTGGCTGGTGGCTCTGTTCTATAAACTATATAGCTCTGTGTCCTACTAACTGAAGCAGCAGCAGGTATGGCCTCAGAAAGTGGAGCAGTGAACAGCGTGGAGGCAGGCAGCTTTAATTAAGTTCATTAATTACCCTGCACTACTTTTCTTCTTTTGTCAGGGGGAATACAAACATGTCCAACTGATTATATTAGATTACAAGGGTACAGCTTTCTTTTACATAAATATGCACTGGAAATATGCATGTGCATGTAAATGAAGTGTACTGGATTGAACTAGACTAGGAGTCTCAAACCTTCTTCAATCAAAGAGCTACTGTTAAACCATCGAAGAGGCAGAGCTACTCCTTTTTGCAGTTGTAATAAGAATCTATCTAATAATTATGACAAAACACAGAGAACACATACCTATACCATAATACTGTATAACCCTATATTAATACTTATAGTAGATATGTCACAGGGCTCCGCACTGGCTTCCTGTGGTTCAGAGAACAGACTTTAAAGCAGCTCTGCTTGTGTGCAACTCTGCATGGCGTCGCACCGAAGAACATCTGACATACTTGTGGAGGCAGCATTCCGGCTAAAACAATATGGAACAGTCTTCCTAAAAATGTGAGACAGGCATCTACACTGACAGCATTCACATCTATGTAAAACAGTTCTGTTTAGAACTGTTTAGTTCTGTTTAGAACTGTTTAGCAGCAGGAACACAAAAACAGTACAAACAAAACAAATGAATAGATCATTCTATAAATAGCTAACAATAGTATTAGAATGCATCAGCACATGTAGGTCACAGCAGCAGTCGCCGCTTGGTTTGGTCCATTTTCTCTGCTCTAGTCCAAAAGTGAGATGCTGAATACTTAGCATTTTTCAAAAAGTTAGCATTCCTCCAGTGAATTTTGCCTGATCCGCTTTCATGATTCGTCTCTGCTCCGGTCTGGACCAGTGCAGTGTTTAGATGTGCATATAACGAAATATTTTTAAATTGAAAAATAATGTGAGTAGTTATACTGGGTTTCCTTTTGTGTAAAACTTTTGTCGCGCTGTCCAATTGTAAATTAAATACAATTGACACAAACACATATCTGGAATTTTTTGGGTTCTACCCCTCACTCCAAGTGTTTAGTTTTCTCTCTGTGACAGACTGAACCTTTCCCGCCCGGGGGAGACAACTGTGGTCTTTTGGAAACTGGAGTCAAGGGCAGCTTCCATCACAGTCAATATGGTATTTTTCTTCATCCTGACTTGAAAAACATTATTATCACTTTCATTATTTATTATATATCACAATTGTATATTATTGTTTACTATGAATCTGTATTAAATATTGTTAGTTATCAGTGATCTAAATAATTAATGATACAGTAATACTAATTGTATTATTATTATTATTATTATTGTATTATGTGTGAGCATAATCTATTGTTTGTATGGTATTATGTATGTGTTTGTTTTATTGTTTTCATAGCTAATGCAATGTGGAGGCTGATGTAGAGAGAGAATAATCACTAATCTGCAGTAAACCAGAATCAATAGTGGCATATCACTGTAATAAGCGAACGGCCCAAATCTCTGTATGAAATTCAATTCTCAATAAACTATACGACAACAAATCAATATGCTATAGTGTTCTGATGGCTTTAAATGATATGTGTATTCTGGGAAGTGAAGCCTGCAGTGTTATCGGACGATCGCAGCTGTATCTGCAGTGCGTTGCCTTCACAGAGCTCCCCTGGGCCACAGCAGTGGCAGCTCCTAACTGGCAACATGCACTTGGTCAATAATAGTGAAAATAAATAACATTTAATTTGAGGGATAATATGATTTAAATATTGCTCCCTGAATGTTATTATTGTGATTCATTAGACTTGAACACATGTAGTTAGAGCATGGGAAAAATTTGCTAAAAATAATACACTGAAATTAATATTGCAATTAATTAAGAGAGGTTTTGAGTTGATGAGGGAAAACGAAGCCTGGAGGATACCCACTCACACACAGATCGTCTTCCTGTGACCTCTGCATGGACTAAGTTACGAATCATATCTGCAGAATTCATTCATTCTTGCCTCTGTTTACATACCGCCATGCGCGGACGCGCGCGAGGCTCAGCGCGCACTCGCAGAGCAAGTACTGTGTATGGAACGCTTATACCCGGACTCTCTGATTATTATCCTGGGGGATTTTAATAAGGGAAACTTGAGCCAGGAATTACCCAAATACAGACAGTTTATCAAATGCCCGACCAGAGAGGAGAACACTCTGGATCACTGTTACACCACCGTGCGCGGAGCTTTTCGCGCTGTTCCCAAGCCAGCCCTCGGCTTCTCAGATCACTCCATGATACATCTGGTTCCTGCTTACAGACAGAGACTAAAGCTCTCGAAACCTGCAGTGAGGAGCTCCAAAGTGTGGTCTGATGAAGCTGTGGAAGAGCTGCGCGCATGCATGGAATCTACAGACTGGGACCTTTTCAGAGCTGCCACAGACAGTTTGGATGAATATACGGACACTGTGACGTCATACATCCACTTCTGTGAGGATAGCATCATTCCAACAAGGACCAGGGTCATCTATAACAACGACAAACCCTGGTTCACTGCTAAACTCCGGCAGCTCAGGAAAGCAAAGGAGTCTGCTTTCAGGGAGGGGGACCGCAGCGGCTACAAAGCAGCTAAATATCAGTTCAGGAAAGAACTGAAAGCAGCCAAGTCCCGGCACAGAGAACGACTACAGGAGCAGTTTGGTAACAACGATACTGCTTCTGTCTGGAGGGGCCTACGGGAGATCACCAACTACAAACCCAAAGCCCCCCCCTGTGCTGATGACCACAAGCTAGCTGACGATCTGAACTTATTTTTCAGTCGCTTTGATGCTGCCCCTAACACCTCTCCCTCCCCCACCCCCCACTACTCTAACGACCCACCCATCAGCCCTGCCCCCAGCCTAACAATAGCCGCTAAAGAGATTAAACAACTCTTCCTGAGGCTGCACCCCCGCAAAGCTCCTGGCCCGGACCACGTGTCTCCGGCCACTCTGAGACACTGCGCCAGTGAGCTTACTCCTGTGTTCACGGACATTTTCAACTCCTCTCTGCAGTCCTGCCATGTCCCGGCCTGCTTCAAATCCTCCATCATTGTCCCCGTCCCGAAGAAGCCCAGGATCACAGGACTCAATGACTACAGACCTGTAGCACTTACGTCTGTCGTCATGAAGTCATTTGAACGCCTGGTTCTCTCCCATCTCAAGTCCCTCACCTCCCCCCTCCTGGACCCCCTGCAGTTCGCCTACAGAGCCAACAGATCTGTAGACGACGCCATTAACCTGGCCCTCCACCACATCCTACAGCACCTGGACTCCCCGGGGACCTACGCCAGGGTCCTGTTCGTGGACTTCAGCTCTGCCTTCAACACAATCCTGCCATCCCTGCTCCAGGACAAGCTCTCCCAGCTCAACGTGCCCGATTCCACCTGCAGGTGGATCACTGACTTCCTGACAGACAGGAAGCAGCGAGTGCGTCTGGGGAAGAATGTCTCGGACTCTCGGATTATAAATACAGGAGCCCCACAGGGCTGTGTTCTTTCTCCCCTGCTCTTCTCCCTGTACACCAACCACTGCACCTCCAGCCACGACTCCGTGAAGCTGATCAAGTTCGCGGACGACACCACCCTCATTGGACTCATCTCCAACAACGATGAGTCCGCCTACAGGAGGGAGGTGGACCGGCTGGTGTCCTGGTGCAGTGGTAACAACCTGGAGCTGAACGCCCAGAAGACAGTGGAGATGATTGTGGACTTCAGGAAGAGCACTGTCCCCCCGCCCCCACCCTCCGTGATGGACTCCCCCATCACCTCTGTGGAGTCCTTCCGTTTCCTGGGCACCACCATCACCCAGGACCTCAAGTGGGAGCCGACCATCAGCTCCCTCATCAAGAAGGCCCAGCAGAGGATGTACTTCCTGCGGCAGCTCAGGAAAGCCAAGCTGCCTGCACAGATGTTGGTGCAGTTCTACACGGCCATCATCGAGTCCATCCTCACCTCCTCCATCACCGTGTGGTTCGCTGGAGCCACAGTCAGGGACAAACA